AGATCAGAAGGCAACCTGGCAAAATGGCATAACCTAAAAGACTTGCACACCTTAGGTGACTGTGGAGCAGAACAGACAACTCCGCATCTGTATGCTTGTCCACTATGCCCTGCCTCATGTAGAGAGGAAGAATGGTTGGAGGCTACAGACAATGCCGTTGCTGTTGCCTGTTTTTGGTCAAAAGATATTTCGCTGCCTGCGTTCCTTCTATTTTTATCAGTTTTATGCTAATTGATGCAATGCTTTTGATGCGAAATAAATAAATATTTAATATAATTTTATTTCATTATTATATTTTGTATTGTATTATATTTATTTATTTACAACATTTATATGCCGCCCTCCTCACCCCGAAGGGGACTCAGAGCGGCTTAACAAGCAATATGTAAATACAATATATGATATTATTACCATAGCACAATAGTAGTATTATGTATTGTACTATAACAGTATACTGTAATATTATTAGTAATATTACATGTAATATAAAATATATAATTATAATCTATTATTACTAGTAGTATTATATTGTCTTACATAATAATATTATTAATATTATGTGTATATACAATATAAGCAATTTTCCTGCTTCTTGGCAGGGGGTTGGACTGGATGGCCCATGAGGTCTCTTCCAATTCTATGATTTGATATTATATTATATAATTAGTACAGTGCAGGAGACAAGATGGAACTGCCTTCCTGGCCCCTCTCTTCACTATGATCCCAAAACAGCAGTTACTGCTGGGGGAGGGGCTCCCAACTGATGATACTGGAGACAATATTTATTATATTAGTATTATATAATTATATTTTATTTTATTATATATTGTATTGGTATAACATTAGTATGTGTATTATGTTAGTATTATTATATTATTATTTTATTATATATTATACTATTAGTATTATATTAGTGTATTTTATATTACTATTACATGTTATTATATCAATTTATTTAATTATTTTATATTGTATGAGTATTTATTTATTTATCTATTTACAGCATTTGTAGCCCACCTTTCTCAGCCTTAGGGCAACTCAAGGTGGCTTATAGTATTATAGTATGTTTGTTATATTAGTATTATATATTTAGGTTTTTAAAATATATTATTATGTTATATATTGTATTATTAGGTTGTTGTAGATTTTTCTGGGCTATATGGCCATGTTCTAGAGGCATTTTCTCCTGACGTTTCGCCTGCATCTATGCCAAGCATCCTCAGAGGTATGCTTACCATAGATGCAGGCGAAACGTCAGGAGAAAATACCTCTAGAACATGGCCATATAGCCCGGAAAAACCTACAACAACCCAGTGATTCCGGCCATGAAAGCCTTTGACAATATATTGTATTATTGTTAGTTCTCACCACGAAGGGGACTCGGGGCAGAGCCCAACATAAATATGGCAAACATTCAATTGGTATTATAGTTGTATGTATTTTATTAGTATTATAGATTTATATTTATAGTATTATATTATATATTGTATTAGTGTCATATTTTATTGTATTTTATTACATCATTTTATTGTATTATATATTAGTATTATAGTAGTACCATATTTATCGTGTTAGTATTATATAAGTATATCATGCTACTTTTATATAATTATATTTTATTATAATATATATTGTATTAGTATTATATTCGTATTATTAGTATTTTATTATATGTCTTATAAGTATTATATTAGTATTATATATTATTTTCAAAGGGACTCAGAGTGGCTACGAATGTTTAAACTGTCACATAGAATGAAACATAAGAGTATTAAATATGATTTAAAATCAATCAGCACCCTCTGTTTCAGACTTCACAATGCCTCTTTCAAAAGCCTGTCTGAAAAGAAAGTTGTTATGGCTGGAGTTAAAGGAGGTTTGGATTTTCAGGTGGTGGGAAAGCCTGAAAAGAAGAACACTGGCCCTTTAAAAGGCCTGTGGGTATTGCCTGACTTTCCCCTGTGCTAGATGTGCTTTGTTGTGTTGTGTGCCTTTGAGTCCTTTCTGATGTAAAGCTGTCTCAGGGTTTTCTTGGCCAGATTGATCTAGAGAGATATCCCTTTTCATGTGGCACATGGAGAGGTGTGCTCAGCCTTGTCGCTTCTGCGAAATAACATTTGCTAGTGTAATCTGACCCTGGTTTCTTGTTGGAACGTTATGAAATATGGTTTATTCTTCTGGGTGAATTGGTGAAATAGGAGTCTCCTAGTAGAGTGAAAAGCGGAAGGTTTGTGCTGAAATGCGTGGCAAGACCGTTTTCAGTCGCTTTTGTAGAAAGAAAGCAGAGTATAAATCAACATCATCGCCGATCAAGAAGGCTGCCGTCCATAATAATAATAATAATAATAATAATAATAATAATAATAATGATGATGATGATAGCCAATCAAGAAGACTGTAGTCCTCAACAACAATAACAACTATAGTAGCAGGTCAAAAAGGCTGCAGTCCTTAATAATAATAATAATAGTAATAGTGATAATAATAATATTTTTTTGTAGTGTCAGGAGCGACTTGAGAAACTGCAAGTCGCTTCTGGTGTGAGAGAATTGGCCGTCTGCAAGGACGTTTGCCCAGGGGACGTCCGGATGATTTGATGTTTTTATCATCCTTGTGGGAGGCTTCTCCCATGTCCCCGCTTGGGGAGCTGGAGCTGATAGGGGGAGCTCATCTGCCTCTCCCCGGATTCGAACCTGCGACCTGTCGGTCTTCAGTCCTGCCGGCACAAGGGTTTAACCCACTGCGCCACCGGGGGCTCCATAATAATAATAATAGCCGATCAAGAAGGCTGCAGTCCTCAACAACAATAACAACAATAGTAGCAAGTCAAAAAGGCTGCAGTCCTTTAGAACAACAATAACAATATTAAAGCTGGTCAAAAAAGGCTGCAGTCCTTAATATTTATTATTATTATTATTATTATTATTATTATTATTATTATTAAGGACTGCAGCCTTTTTGACCAGCTTTAATATTGTTATTGTTGTTCTAAAAGACTGCAGGCTTATTGATTGGCTGTTGTTGTTATTATTTATTATTATTATTATTATTATTATTATTATTATTAACAACAACAACAACAACAATAATAGCCAGTCAATAAGCCTGCAGTATTTTAGAACAACAATAACAATATTAAAGCTGGTCAAAAAGGCTGCAGTCCTTAATAATAATAATAATAATAATAATAATAATAATAATAGCTGATCAAGAAGGCTGCAGTCTTTTAGAACAAAAATAACAATATTAAAGCTGGTCAAAAAGGCTGCAGTCCTTAATAATAATAATAATAATAATAATAGCTAATCAATAAGCCCGCAGTCTTTTAGAACAACAATAACTATATTAAAGCCGGTCAAAAAGGCTGCAGTCCTTAATAATAATAGCCAATCAAGAAGGCTGTAGTCCTCAACAACAATAGTAGCAAGTCAAAAAGGCTGCAGTCATTAATAATAGTAATAATAATAATAATAATAGCCGATGCAGTTCTTTAGAACAATGACAACAATAATAAAAGCCTGTCAATAAGTCTACAGTCAATAATAATAATAGTAGCTGGTCAAGAAGGCTGCAGTCCTTAATAATAATAATAATAATAATAATAATATATATATATATATATATATCGTGTCAGGAGCGACTTGAGAAACTGCAAGTCGCTTCTGGTATGAGAGAATTGGCTGTCTGCAAGGACGTTGCCCAGGGGACGCCTGGATGATTTGATGTTTTTATCATCCTTGTGGGAAGCTTCTCTCATGTCCCTGCATGAGGAGCTGGAGCTGATAGAGGGAGCTCATCCACCTCTCCCCAGATTCAAACCTGCGACCTGTCGGTCTTCAGTCCTGCCGGCTCAGGGGTTTAACCCACTGTGCCACCGGGGGCTCCAATAATAATAATAATAATAATAATAATAATAATAATAATAATAATAATATAGCCAATCCAGAAGAATGCAGTCCTTTAGAACAATGACAACAACAACAAAAGCCTGTCAAAAGGTCTACAGTTAATAATAATAATAATAATAATAATAATAATAGCCAGTCAAGAAGGCTGCAGTCAGTAGTTATAATATTAATAATACCTGATTAAGAACGCTGCAGTCCTTTAGAAGAATAATAAAATACGATCAAGAAGACTGCAGTTAATAATAATAATAATAACGTTTCTTACCTACCTCTCCCTGTGGCGGGTTACAACATAGCTGGAAACACATAAATCATCATCAGCATTGTATAAAATACACATCTTAAAACCTATTTCTACAAAGTGCACAGAACAAAGATTGAAATGATCTCGAGATGCGAGTTTAAGTGATCTCGAGATGCGAGTTTAAAATTCCTGGTTAGCGTGAATGAGGTGTATCTTTTCGGCTTGTGGCAGGTGTCAAAACCTGGGAAACTGGGCGATTGCTTTGCTTCAGGAGGATTTGGGACTATAAATCCCATCATTTAGGATGGAGGGGGATGAGAAGGCCGTCGGGAGCTGGAGGGCCACATGTTGCCTGCTCCTCTTCTAAGTTGTCATTTCATCATCTTATCCTGCGAGCAGTTGTAATGCTTGTTTTGCACTGAACTAAATGGTGAAAATGAAATTTAAAATTGCTGTTTGGTTGAAAAGGAAGGCTTTTCAACCAAATAGTCTGGGCCTCGGGTGTCTTTTCAGAGCTTGGGGGTGTGTGTTTGTTTCCAAATGAGGGCTGCATTGTGCGGAGACCTTTCTTCTAACACAGGACACATTCCAGAGCCTGCTTGCTAAAGTGTGTCCTTCCTATGTTTTACTGACTCTAGAAATAGTAGTGAGAAGAATGTCCAATGATTGTTGATTCCTCCTCCTTTGGAAGGGAAGAGCAGTGGGGTTTGCCAGGTGTTTCTGGATGGGCACATGAGTGTCGAATCGTGCGATGCGCTCCCGCTGCCTCCTTTCCTTCCCTCTTGTGGCGAAAGTGCAGAAGGAAGTCCTCTCTGGTATTTACTTGCCTGGGGTTTGGCTGTTTTCAGGCTCGGTGCTGGGAGGAAGAAGCAAGAGCAGCAGCAGCAGCGATGGCGCGCCTGGTGGCAGTGTGCAGAGACGGGGAGGAAGAATTCCCCTTCGAGCGGCGCCAGATCCCCCTCTACATAGACGACACCCTGACGGTGAGTGGCAACACAACCCTTGCCATGCTGCTGCTGCGTTGAGGGTGTTTTGCAATCCCAAAATGGGGGCACCATCCTCCTCCTCCTCCTCTTTCGGCAAGGCCTCAGGGCCGCGCCTTGGAGGGCACTGCTTGGGCACACACACTGTGGGAGGTTGTGGTGGTGGAGGGGCTTCGTGTTGGTTTTTCTTGTCCTTTTTGCTACAGATCTGCACACATGCAAGGGGTGGGAACATGCACACGCACATACGGAGGAGGCCTAACCCGGAGACGGTCGTAGCCATTTTGGAAGCGGGTGTCTGGGAGCAAAGCTAGGGCTTTAGGCTTGGGAAAAAAGGCAGGAGGCCAAAAGTTTCGAGGTTTGGTCCCGGCTGCTGATGTGTCGGTTGGCCAGCTTGGCCCCAAATCAGTTCCTGAACTTTCCTCTGCCTTCAAAACAACTACCCCGTGCTGGTGTGCTTGCTTGCTTTTTCTGTCTCTGTCTGTCTGTCTGTCTTTCCTTCCTTCCTTCCTTCCTTCCTTCCTTCCTTCCTTTTCCTTCCTTCCTTCCTTCCTTCCTTCCTTCCTTCCTTCCTCTCTCTCTCCCTATCTTCTTTCTTTCCTTCCTTCTTTCCTCCCTCCCTATCTTCCTTCTTTCCTCCCTCCCTCTCCTCCTCCCTTCTCCTTCCCTCCCTATCTTCCCTCCCTCCCTCCCTTCCTTCCTCCTTCTTTCCTTCTTTCTTTCCCTCTCTCCCCCCTATCTTCCTTCCTTCCTCCCTTCCTCCCTCCTTCTTCCCTCTTCCTTCCTTCTTCTTTCCTCTTCTCTCCCTCCTTATCTTCGTTCTTTCTTTCCCTCCTTCCCTCTCCTTCCTTCCTATCTTCTTCCCTCCTTCCTCCCTCCCTTCTTTCCTCCCTCCTCCTTCCTTCTTCCTTCCTTCTTTTTTCTCTCCTCTTCCTTTCTTCTTCCTTCTTTCTTTCCTCCTCCTCCCTCCTCCTTCTCTTCTTCCTTCTTTCCTCCCTTCCTTCTTTCCTCCTCCCTCCTTTCTTCCTCCCCTTCTTTCTCTTCCTTCCTTCTTCCTTCTTTCCTTTCCCTCCTTCCTCCTCCCTTCCTTCTTCTTCTCCCTTCCCTCCCTCCCTTCCCTCCCTCCTTCTTTCCTCCCTCCCTCCCTTCCTTCTTTCCTTCTTTTCTCTCTCTCTCCTTATCTTCCTTCTTTCTTTCCTCCCTCCCTCCTTCCCTATCTATCTCTTCCTCCCTCCTCCCTTCTTTCCTTCCTTCTTTCATCCCTCCCTCCCTCCCTTCCTTCTTCCCTCCTTATCTTCGTTCTTTCTTTCCCTCCGCTCTCCCTCCCTCTCTATCTTCCTCCCTTCCTTCCTCCCTCCTTCCCTCCCTTCCTTCCTTCCTTCTTTCCTTCCTTTCTCTCCCTCCCTCCTTCTCTTCCTTTCCTCCTCCTCCCTCCTTCTTCCCTCTTCTTCCTTCCTCCTTCCTTCCTTCCTTCCTTCTTTCTTTTCTCTCTCTCCCTCCTCCCTCCCTCCTATCTTCCTTCTTTCTTCCCTCCTTCCTCCCTCCCTCCCTCCCTCCCCTTCTTTCTTCCTTCCTTTCTCTTCCTCCCTCCTTTCTCCTTTCTTTCCCTCCCTCCCTCCCCCTCCCTCCTCCCTCCCTCCCTCCTTCCTTCCTTCCTTCCTTCCTTCTTCCCTTCCTTATCCTTCTTTCTTTCCCTCCTCTCTCTCCCCCTCCCTCTCTTATCTCCTCCCTCTCTTCCTCCCTCCCTCCCTCCTTTCCTTCCCCCTAACCTTTAGAGATCTCAATCCCTCTTGCAGCTGTGCAAGGTGAACCACTGCCTGCGTCACTTATTTGTGCCGAAGCCCGGCTCAAACTGGTTTCTATCTCTTTCTCTCTCCTATTTTCTTTCTTTTTTATTTAAAAGTATTCTTGGGGAGGGAAATGGCTTTGGAGAGGTGTAGGCTTCCAGGGACGGAGTCCTCTCTTTCCTTAGGGAAAGTTCTCATCCCGCCTTTCTCGTGTGACACCCCCCTCCCACACCCCTCTCCATTAACAACTCTTGCTTCAGTATTCCGCTTGCTTGCCTCCCCGCCTCCCCTTGAATGTGGGAACACGGTGGGCCCTGGCTTTGTTTGGGGTGGGGCTTTCTCTTGGACCCAAAGGGGAGGAAGTTCCCTTCCTTTTATTTTCCCTTAAAGGCGAAGAAGTCACTTGCTGAGACTCGGGGACATAGAAAGGATATTATTATTGTCCTGGGTGGGGTTTAGCAATTGTGTTAACTGCTTGGAAATACTTGCTGCCTAAGGCAAAGCAACAAATGGGGTCCACCAACTAGGACTTAAAGCAGGTATGGGCAAACTTGGGCCCTCCCTCCAGGTGTTTTGGACTTCAACTCCCAGAATTCCTAACAGCCTCAGGCTTCTTCCTTTCTTGGGCTACAATGGATGTTGTGATTGGGCCTTCAGATGTTTCCGGGCTGCAAATCCCATTGTCCCCGGACACTCAAATCCTGTGATATAGCAAAGGGTCTCCCTTTTTATAAAGTGCCAAAAATCCAGGATTTTTAGCAGAAAATGACTGAAGACACAGATGCGGAATCCACAGATACAGTCCAACCCTATTTGTATATGTAATCGGTCTCATACATGGCTGGCTGTTACCTTCCCACCGAAGTGGTACCTATTGATCTACTCACATTTGCATGCTTTCGAACTGCTACATTGGCAGAAGCTGGGGGTAACAGCAGGAGCTCACCTCACTCCCCCAGATTCGAACCGCCTACCTTTCGGTTAGCAAGTTCAGCAGCTCAGCAGTTTAACTCGCTGCACCACCATGGCCCCTGTGTGTGTGTATGTGTGTGTGTACAAAAGCACTTCAGTGTTTTCTATATGCCATATTTCTTGATTTCTAAGATTGTAAGATACATACTGTCATTATAATTTCAATCCACACACACACACAAGTATACAAAAGCACTTCAGTGTTTTCTATATGCCATATTTCTTGATTTCTAAGATTTTAAGATACATACTGTCATTATAATTTCAATTATATATACACACACACATACACACACACATAAAAATGTAACGTTAGTTTGTCGGATTAACATAACTCAAAAACCACTGGGTGAATTGACACCAAATTTGGACACAACACATGTGTCAGGCCAACAAGACCGTCACTCATAAAAACACTGAAAAACACAATGGAAGGGACTTAAAAGCCGTAAAATAAAAAAATTCATTACAACGCATGTGCAAAACCACATATATATTCGCAAACATGTATATACACATATACACAAATATATACACAGACTGGGCCACAGCATGGCAGGGGGTGGCTAGTATATATATATACACACACACACACACACACACACACACACACACACTTATTTATTTATTTATTTACCTGCCGAATTTATATAGCACTCGGAGGCGACTCAAGGTGCTTCACAGTCGGCAGCGATTCAACGCCTTAGCAATTATAAAAATACAGTTAAAAGCAATTATAAAAACAATGAAAACATTTAAAATGTGATATAAAAACAATACAACCTGTATACATACACAGACACACACGGGCCCCCTGGCGGCACTGTGGGTTCAACCACTGAGCTGCTGAACTTGCTGACTGAAAGGTTGGAAGGTAATGGCGCGCCATGCAGTCGTGCTGGCCACATGACTTTGGAGGTGTCTATGGACAATGCTGGCTCTTTGGCTTAGAAATGGATATTAGCATTGAAAACGACTAGACTTAATGTTAAGGGGAAACCTTTACCTTTTGCTACATACAGACACACACACAAAAGTGTATAAAAGTGTGTGCGTGTGTATATAGGATTGTCTGCATGCCCTATCCCTCTCCAAAATTTCTATCCTGTTTATATGTCACCTGGTCATGCCCAGCATTATTTTTAAAAAAAAAAATTAATTTTAAACGTCGTTAATGTTTGTTAATGTTTATTGCTATTTTCTGTTTATGAGTTTATTTATTGTTGTATTACTGTTGCTATGTTTTATTGTTGTGTTGTGGGCTCATGTAAGCCGCACCAAGTCCCTTGGGGAGATGGTAGCGGGGTACAAATAAAGTTTAATAATAATAATAATAATAATAATAATAATAATAAAAATAATAGGTAAAAGGTAGTCCCCTGACATTAAGTCCAGTCATGTCTGACTCTGGGGTGTGATGCTCATTTCCATTTCTAAGCCGAAGAGCCGGCGTTGTCCGTAGACACCTCCAAGGTCATGTGGCCAGCATGACTGCATGGAGCGCCGTTACCATCCCGACGGAGCGGTACCTATTGATCTACTCACATTTGCATGTTTTTGAACTGCTAGGTTGGCAGAAGCTAGGGCTGACAGCGGAAGCTCACGCCGCTCCCCGGAATCGAACCTGCAACCTTTCGATCAACAAGCTCAGCAGCTCAGTGCTTTAACCCACTGCGCCACCGGGGGCCAATAAAAATAATATACACACGCAAATCCAAAAGTATACAAAACACTTCTGTATGGCATATAGAAAATGTGTACAAAAACATTCACTATGCTATATTTTTTCACTTCTGACATGCCACTGATTGGAAGACACACTTTCATTATAATTTCAAATACATGTGCATATATGTGTGTGTGTATGTGTGTGTGTACACGATTCTAAGATGCATCCCATGCTTAGAGATGTTTATAATGGGGAGGAGTGCACCCTAGAATTGAAGAAATACAATAAACATATTTAACATGGGACACTCTCCTGAATATGTGTGTGGGTTTTTTGCAGGCAGAATAATATGTGTGTGTGTGTGTGTGTGTGTGTCTGCATGCTTCCCTTTATATATATTTTGTGTGAGAAAGACATTACAAAATTGGTTAGAGGCTCCATTTCTTGGTGGCGCATGATTGTGGAGTGTGAACAAACTCTCTTCCCATTGAAAGGCCAGTAAACAAATCCTTTGCTTTTACTATTGACATGCCTTGTGTGGGGACGGCGGCCCCTGGCATCCATTTGTGATT